GGAACAACATGAAGGACATGGTCTCCTACACTCCTCTGATTCTGGACCCAAACACTGCTGGTCCAGAACTCATCCTGTCTGAAGATCTGACCAGTGTGACAAGAGGAGATGAACAGCAGCTTCCTGATAATCCAGAGAGGTTTGATAGGTGGCAGTGCTCTGTTCTGGGTTCTGAAGGCTTCAACTCAGGGACTCACAGCTGGAATGTTGATGTTGGAGACAGTACATACTGGAGCCTGGGTGTGATAGAAGAGTCTGTTCAGAGGAAGGGAATCATACAGTCTGGATATTGGAGAATAATGTTCATTTTTGATAAATACTCAGCATTGTCATCATCATCTCCTTCCACTGATCTCTCAGTGCAGAAGAAGCTCCAGAGGATCAGAGTGAATCTGGACTGTAACGGAGGAAAGTTGTCGTTCTCTGATCTTGATGCTAAAACACACATACACACCTTCAATCACACTTTCACCCAGAAGATGTTTCCGTTCATTTTCACTGCGGATAAAGCGAAGATTTTACCAGTGAAGGTCTCTGTGACAGTAGAACAGAGCAGTTAAGAGGTAAAGAAGATTATAACACTTCTTGTGTTGTTTTAGAGCTGCAAAAATGAATCAATGAATCTGATGATAAAAACTGTCCTCATGGAGCTCAGTGACGTGGCTCTGGGTGAGTGCATCATGACTAATTTCCCAGTTGATTAAATATAAATATAAATCTGGGAACAACATATATTTGTGAGTAATCAACTTAAAGTCTTGTGTTTATGCTGCCAGTCATTCAGTATTTTAAGAAAAACCTTTGGTTGAGGAGGAAACACTGATCCCCCAAAGTCACTGTAGTTTCTTGGTTGAACATAATTTTATTGGAAGTTGTTTAAACTTAACATTGATGCAAACTGCTGCAGTAATGTTTTCTGTGGAGTGTATGAGTCTAAGTGCTCACGTGATGACACGCAGTTCAGACTTGCGTCATGTTGGAAGTGAAGCGGAGACCTTACTCGTCCGACCGGTTTCCATCGAGCAACATTTCCTTTGAAGTGAGCATTCAGACATGACGGTGACGAGTTCAAATGCTATCAGATTAGCAGTGGTTTCTGCATGTCTGAACAGAGGTGTGGACGCCACGGTGTTGTACTTTAATAAGATAATAATGTGTTTAAACGGTTGGTGTTACTGCTGCCTACTAGCAACACATCTCTAGTCGCTGCAACCAGCGAGAACACGTCAGAAAAACGGTGGAATCAGAGTACAGCCAAGTTCAGCAGCACTTTTAACAAGACATGTGATTGGAACACAAACTGTAGGTCGGTGTGGATTCTATGAACAAACATGACTTGTTTCTGTCTGTGTGTAGTCGTGAAGTGAAGCTCGTCAAGCAGACAAGACGAGGATGAAATGTTCTGGAATAATCACCATGTAGTTACAGGGTTGTAAAACAAGATCTTGACACGAACACACAGACACACCTTCAGTCACACTTTCAGCCAGAGGGTGTTTCTGTACATTTACACTGTGGATGAAGCAAAGATTCTCCCAGTGCAGGTCTCAGTGACGTGGCTCTGGATGAGTGCATCATGTGTGACTGCTCTGCTGATGAAACAGAAATTTAAATTTAACTGAGTCGACCCAGAAGTGGTTAAAACTGTTTAACAATAAACACCGTCTGATATCATATGTCTGAAGGAGCCATTTAAAACAGTTCATCTATAACCAAATCATGTATTTCTATGTTGAAATTTGTGCCACTGTGCACCTTGCATATCAATATGAATATATCAGAACATTACTGTTAGAATTTGACTGCCTCCTTAAAGTACTTTATTACAGGGTGTAGTGAAATTACACAGTTTATATGTATGTATGTAAAGCAATGAAAGCTGTCCTAAAAACAAAACAGGGTCTTTCCTGCATTAACTTGTGGGATTTCATTTTGTTCCACGTTGTTTGGATGTTTCTTAAATATGTGCCTTTTTTGGGGGTCTTCTATATCAACGATTTAGCTTCTTGTCACTGCACGGGTGAATCCAGAAACCACCGGAGGTTTCTGAGTTCTGAAGGGTTTCTCAATTTATCACTGCCTACTTACGTGTTGGACACTTTCATTATCAAACCTGCGTTTGGGTATTCATTGAGTGTTGTGTCATTGTTGTCTGATCGATTGTTAGCAGTTAATAAATGTTTTGTGTATGATTACAATCGGTGCTGTCGTGTGTGATCTTTGACTGAACATCACCTTGAAACATGAAGTACTTCATTTAAAAAATCTGTACTTTCATAAACTGTTTTTTTTATACAAATAATTTGCTCCTTTGCAGCATTTTTACTGTACTTAAATAACCAAAGTATTATAATTTCATGGTTTTTTTTAAAACATATTTTTTAACTGGAATGTTTGGCCATAAAATGCATCCGTTTCAGTGTATTTGAATAATCAGACAAATAGAACTACTTCATCACTATATCATGGCCTCCACCTCTGGCTCTGGTTGGCGTAGGTTTTGTTTCCCTCCCTCTCCCTCTGTCCTCTCTCTGAGCTGTGGGGAATCTGGGCAGGTGCAGCCACTGGATAATTACCTGAGTGAGCACACCTTGCGGCGAGGAGTGGCACACCTTGGATTCATCTTCCCTCTACCACATAAGCTGGAGTGAAGCCACTGCTCGACGTTGGCTCATCAACTACCTCTACCTCTGCTGATGCTGGATTTCCCCACACTGCACACCGGCTCCGCTCACCTTTCCCCTCTGTCCACAGCTAAGTTCCCTGCTCACCTGCTGGGTCCTTGGTCTAGTTATTTATCTTTGTGTCTTTTGTAAATATTCCGTCCTGTAGCTCCTGTCGTATTTCATTATGTTCCAGTATGGCATATAATCTGTACATTTGTAGTTCAGTTATCTTATTATTTAGCACTTGTATATAGCTTTGCACTTCCTTGCCAGACCTGTAGGATTCCCCTCGCTTCCGTATCTTGTACCCTGACCTTTGTTGTACTTCCGGTTATTCGCTGTGTGTATATATTTGTAAATTAATTATTATCTTTGACATGCTGGGTGGCCGAGTCTCCTTTCCACACTTGGGTTCTGCATTACGATCTGTGACACAATATTTGCTTTTTATGAAAGAAAAATTAGGTATTGAAGATTGAAAAATTACAAATACATTTTCACTGTTTTTCTAAAAAATTCTGTTACTTGCTAAATTATATCATTTTACAAAAAAGATGTTGTTTTACAATGTCTGACTTAAAAATTAAACACTTTTTTTCTTTTGCTTTATTTGTGTGAAGAAGTTTTTTCTCAGTGCCACATCTTTGTATTTCTTTTTAACATTATTTTTGGCAAATAAATAAATCAAATTGTTGACTGCTGTATTAAAACCTATATCACCATTTTCCTGAATGCAACATAAAAAAATTGGTTTTGAATTGGCTTAAAATGAGAAGATATGAAGTGAAATTTGTGGCATTTGAAACAAAAACAAGGATATATTAATTCACTGCTACTATTTTTAATTTGAATTCATTTTAAACCACATTTATACAACTTTGTCATTTAAACACTATACAGGTCACATTTGTGATTTGCTAAGTCAAAACTGTGATTGATTGAACTATCCAGTCTAATTATGAGACATGTAGAGGCGTGAAGTCATATTTGATGAGCTGAACATGTTTTATTTATTTTCAATTAAATTCAAAGATGTTAAATGTTTGATTAGTTTGGTATTCAAGTTCAATACATCGGTAAACCTAGATTTTTGTGAAAATTAATGTGAAATCGTTGTAATATTTCAATTAAATTTATCATGTCCAAAATGTTATTATATATATATATATATACACACACACAGTCTGAGCAATATATAGAATAATTTTTATGTATGTATATATAAACTATTTTATATATTGCTCAGGCTGGAATTAAAACACATGACTCTAGTACAGGCATTAGTTTTGTATCACTTATTGTGACCAGTTCAGTCAGTTTTAACATTACTGTAATCTGATTACTGGGCTTTGTACTATCAGGAAAAAAAGGCTTGACTTTTTCTTCAGCTCCCTGCACAGGATCAAGTATCTGGTAAAAAATCACAAAACGATAACATTCTGTGGTGGCATTCCCACACTAGTGGCTCTATCGAGTCACCAGAGGAATCCTGGGATGTGAATTACTTCCGTGTTTACTGCTATCTGCTAAAACTTAACTATTTAGGTTTTCTCTAGCCTGATGGTGCTCAACTGGAAATAAACAGAACAGCAAAAAATCCTTCTATTTCCAACCCCAAACCTGATGATGTTTAAAATGTGCATTTTTAAAATTTGCAGCAATTAAAACGTAAGGTGAGCTGTTGAAACTGTTTGTATGAGTGATTATATGTGAAGTGTAGTATATGTTGCTCATTGTTTAATTTTTATCCTCATTATAAAAGTCTGGTGGAGAACAGTAGGTGACTGGCAGGTATAAAGTGTATAGAAAACACTTTGGATAGTTAATTAGCTGGGTGTGGTGCTGGTCTGTATGATCTATTGTTGCAGAGAAAAGCTTGATTACACCACCTGTATGTTCCTTCTCAGTTTGCTTCTCTTCCTGTTGTGCACATACAGACACAATCCTATGTGCACAAACATGCATATATACTTAGAGCGGTTCACTACCTACCACACACACTTGAAACACACACATGCACACAAGAGGTCCCCATTTTAAAGGAAGGTATTTACAGTCATACACGTTCTTACACTGTAGGTTTGAACACCTACCATGTGGGGACCTCTTTATACGATTCCATTCATGACCCTCTGTATAGGGGGACGTGAATTGAGATTATCATTTGAACCATAGAGAGTGGTCAAAGGGGAGAGCAAATGAAAGTTACATTCACACTGTAGCGCAGTGAGGATATTTAGACATTTTCTTATGTGCACAAACACACACAGAGACATCAAGCTGTTTACACAAACACCAGATGCACTAAAAACACACACACTCACATACACAACGTCCCCATATTGGGGGAAACATTTACACTCAAATACCATCTGGGGACCTGCATATAAACGTTCATACACGACCCTCTGTATAACGGAACGTACTACTAAATTA